ACATCAGTGGATAAGTAATTCAAAAACCACATTTTCAGAGAACTGTGCCTTTTAAGTAGGGAAAGTAAAAACTGCAATTTAGAAAAAAAGCAATATTATGTGTAGTAATCGTAATTAAGCAGTTATATCCAGTCATACTCATTGCTGCAATATTATTTATACCATCTTAATCATTTCAATATTTTTATAATAAGTAATAATTATAATAATTAATAATTAATTTATGCATTTAACAGACGTTTTTATCCAAAGCAACTTACAGTGCATTCAGGTTAAACATTTTTTACCAGTATGAGTGTTCCCTGGGAATTGAACCCACAACCTTTTGCGCTGCTAACGCAATGCTCTACCACTGAGCCAAAGGAACTTTAAGTAGTAATTGGTTTTGATTTATTATGAAATTTTGGTGATTATATTTTTTTATTATTCACTTACCATATTGTTAGCAGTCAAGAAAGTATGAATACAGTTGCTTTGGGTGGTGTTTAGGAAGGTGCAATATTGTAGGTAATAATAAAGCAATTAGCTCAATCAAAAATCTGAGATTTTAATAATTGTGCTTTTTATGAAAATTCTTAATGGGCAATATTTCAGGGCTATATTTTGAGGGTAAAGTTAGTTGATGGGACAGATGATGTATAAAAAGTTTTAATTATCCTTTTTTTTAATGTTTCTGCACTTTTACTTGCTTCACTTGGCATTTTACTGCAGTGATTTGCTTTAAGTGTGAGTGAGCTGCATACTTTATATAATAAATAAAGGGAGCTGAACAGAAATTCTGTGTTGGCCAAGTCATATGACTCATGTGATACGTTTTGTGTGTGTGTGTGTGTGTGTGTGTGTGTGTGTGTGTGTGTGTGTGTGTGTGTGTGTGTGTGGCCAGACCATCCATTTACTGCTTGAAGTGTACTTTTTTTTTTCTTGAAGTTGGTGCCTAATCATATCTGCACTGCATGCTTAGAACAACTCAAAATAAAATGTATATGCACTAATATCCATCTTGTGTTTTTAAGACTTTGAAAATGCGCTTGAAAGTTTGTGATAGATGTTAAAAGTCTGCTATACACTGTTCCAAGCTAGAACCTCTGCAACTGTTGGCAGACGTTGACACGCAACTATAATTTCATGAACTTCCTGCCGTGCGGCCGTTCGAATTTTAGAATTCCACTTGTGTTGAGGCTGGATTTGGAATGCAGGCCTAAATATACTCGGTTGCAACTATAGCTGTCTCTTCTGCTTGGCATTATGACAGTGGAGGCTGTATGCGTTCTCAACTATTGTACCCAGAGGGGCATGAGTTGTATTATGTCTGACCAGCGGGCTGGGCTATTGTTGGAATCGTTCTATTAATAGAAAGAAAGGCAATAATTGAGATGTGGTGTTAGACAACGGCCACAACACAACTGTCTGTGCAAGTCTCCCCCGTCTATCTGTCTGCATTTTATCCTGTCTGTCTTTCATTGTTTGCTTCGTTTTATTTCTGTTTATGCCCCCTTTTCCACGTGATGTGCCACACGTTCATTTGTGCGGCCTGCTGTACGTGCTGCATGCATGCACATGTACACACTAGTGCAGTGTGTGCATGCTGCTGTGTGTGGGACCTACAGCCTTGCTGTCACATTTCAACCCTGTATGTCACATTCCTGTTGGACTTGGAAAGGAGGGATGCACATGCGCGTCCAGCCAGCGGATTTCTCTCACTTTCTCTCCGATTCCCTCATGCTTTGATTTAGGTGTAACTCTTTTGCAGGTGTTTGAGGAATTTTAATGATTCTTTTACTACTTTTGGAGATAAATATTGGACATTCATTGGTCTTTTAAAATAACTAGTTCATAAAAGTAATTTGTTCTGAATAACATTTGATATAATATTAATTTTATAAATATTAATTGTACTCATCATATTCTAATGTTATATAATATATATTTTATCAGTTTTTTCAGACATTTATTAACTAGTTCATTTAAAAAGACTAATGAATGCAATTCATATAAACATATGAATTATCATATATATATCAGTTATTTTTGTTATAAGAAAAATGTTATTAAACCTGTTATACTGTATTATGACAGCACTTTTTAAAACTAAATTTCAATATCGTGATAAAAGCATTAGCAATTAATCGCAACATGAAAATGTGATACTGGCATATCCCTAATATATATATATATATATATATATATATATAAGAAAGAAATGTATTTATAACTAAAATTTTAAACTAAATGTATTTATTTTTTTCAAGTTGAAGGTCAACTATTTGAATATTGTTTTATGGTGTCAGTTCTGGATGAGAAGCCTTTCAATGTATTCTAATGTTAAATATTAATATATATATATTGTAAACGTTTTATGTATTTTTTATATATGATTTGTATACATTTATGAATAGTAATATTTTAAAATTAAAAAGCTAAAACTAAAATTGTAAAAATAAATATTGTGGGTCAACTAGTATTGTATTGTGTTGTATGAATATTAAATTGTATTATATGGTCTTCTGATGTATAATATCATCATTGACATTATTACAAATCATATGCCTATGATATTCTATAAAAGTGGAGCCAGTTCTGAATGAGAAGCATTTTGATGTATTTTGATGATTAATATATATTTTAGCAGTTTTATGGATATTTATTTATACCTTATTTATATATATTTATAAATCGTAATATTTTAACATTAAAAAACAAACTTAAAACTAAAATAAAATAAAAGTTGAGGGTCAAATAGTTGAGTATTTTATTATAGAAAGAATATTATGTTATATTGTATTATATGGTCTTCTGATTTTTAATGTCAGCACGGACATTGTTATAAATCATATTCCTATGATGAACTATAACAAAAAAAATGCAGCCAGTTCCGAATGAGAACCGTTTCTTTGGGCACATCAATTTTTATTAGTCACGCTTTCTGCATATGTTTGTTTCTGACAAGCGTCTTTAAGATCTCAGTTAAAGAAGCAGGAGGCGAGGTCGAGCCGTCACACCATCTTGCAGCCGTTTTTCGCCGTATAGCAGCTTGACTAAGACGGCGTTTCTTGATCCCCCTTCCTCCCTCTGTTTTGCCCTCTCTTCTCCTCTCTGTTTCCTCCCACTAGAGCCGATCCATTGACTAGAGCAGTGTCTGACTGAGCCCTCTCTGATCACTATGACTCAGAACCCTGCCTGCTTTGATCTCCAGCACAATCATGCGCCACCTGCTGGCTGATTTCGCAGCTGCAGATTGTGTCAGCTGCCATTTTTTTTTTCACCTCCATGGCTGACTTGTGTCGTGCGGTGATTTGAAAATGTGTGTGTGAAAGTTTTGCTGATGCTCACTGGGGCTGGGTAAATGCAGGAATATTTTATTTAAATTAACTTTTGAACATGGGTTTTTCAACAATTTTTCAAATGATTACTAGGGATAGACAGTATGACAAATCTTAACACAGTGTGAATAATTTAGACCACACTAACATTATAGCACAATATGGTATATAAATGAAGTAGCCATGTGGTAATTAGGCATGGGCCGATTACTGGTTTCAAGGTATACCGCGATTTGAAAATGTCACTGTTTCAAAACCACTAATATTTTCCGTTATACCGTTCCTGTGGTATGCGCTGTTTTTCATGTCTCCTCAAAGACTGAAAGTGTAGGAATCCCTCAGGTTGAGTGCAGTGTAGAGAGTAACACGACCCATCCCCCTCCTGTTGGTGCAAGCGAGCGGTCAGTCACGTGTGTGTTAGGATGCCGAACTTAAAGGGTTAGTTCACCCAAAAATGAAAATTCGCTTTTGTTTTACTTACCCTCGAAGCATCTTAGGTGTATATAACTTTCTTCTTTCAGACGAATCCAGTCAGAGTTATATTAAAAATTGTCTTTGATCTTTCAAGCTGTTTAATGGCACTCGGCGGTTGTTGCAGTTGAACAGTCCACAAGTCGTCAAATAAAGCTCGCGCATTCATAATAAAACGTGCCGCAGACGAGCCGTTGCGAATTAGAAGTACAAACCAAAGATTTGCAAAGAAAAATGTTGGGAGGATTTCGATATAAACCGAGAGGAGACTGGTTTTCCTTTGCTAAAGTAAGGAAACTGCTTCCTTTGCTCCTATTAAACAAACTCGCGAGACTAGCATATCTGAGGCGCGCGTGCTGCGCATACGTCATACGCCTTCCGCTGGAACGGATCCGCGTATGATAGATAACGGAGTGTTTTAGTGCAGCGCTGCTTGGTTTACAGCGGAAACCAAGGAAACACTGTATCTGGTGTTCCAGAAGCCCCTCCTGCTGTCAGAAAGTGAATATGCGTCTCATTCAGAGCTTCTGCTGTTTGTTTCGTTCAGGCATGTAGTATAATTTCACAAAGCTGGTCAGAACATTGTTTTTGTTTCAAATTGGGTTGTTATTAAATCAAATTATGTATATGAAATGATATGTATATGAATTATATAACTTAAATTAAATAACTGAAATGATAGATTTAGGTTAAATAAAGATGTCAATCTTTATTTTTCTTCTTTTTAGGAAACAAATCAAAGAAAAAAAAATTCTACTGTTCCTAATATTCTGTATGTTGCTCAAAAACAAAATATATTGTGTTCAGCGGGAAAATTATTTTAATTTTTTTTACTCAGTCATTTAAAAATAACACATTTAAAGCTGTAACGACAATACCGTGAAACCGTGACAATACCGTGAAACCGTGATATTTGTTGCTTAAGGTTATCATACCGTCAAAATCTCATACCGGCCCATGCCTAGTGGTAATGCCTTTTTAGGTGTGCTTTACAGATGTAAGGTGATTGTCCAGCAATGACTAAACTTTGGGTTGTGCATAACATTCTTTAATATTCCTTGTCTTGACTTGCTTGGAATAAATCCAGCTCTCTGTCATCACATTACTCGGTGTTTAATTGCGTCTCTTAAATCAGTCTTACCATATTAATTAAAAAGAAGTGCCGAGACGTACTGGACAGTTGTTAATGCTATTTCTCTTTCTTTTTAGTTTCCTGGACAGGATTGACACTGTGAAACAAAGCGACTATACTCCCACTGATCAGGTGTGTAAATATCCACATGAAGGGATTCAGACATTGATATTGAAGTGTATATCTTTGGGAGCCCTCTTTCTTAAAGGGATAGTCCACCCCAAAATGAAAATTTTGTCATTAATCACTTACCCCCATGTCGTTCCAAACCCGTAAAAGCTTTGTT